AGTGGTCATTTTTGCAGAGTACAGTTTTGCTGTAGGCGGCCGAAAAGTCGTTTGCACAAACGCTAGCATCTTGGAGTAACCAAAATACTTTGGAATCATGATGCATGTGGACCACAAGCGTACTAAAGAAGTATTTTTAGTCGAAGAAGCGTTTCATAATTTCGGTTAACATTCCATGCGTTATCATATCTACCGTACTTGATGCGGTTAGTATGGCCTAGGCTTCCCGAACTTCGAAATCGACACCTGTTGTTTTTAATCTGATATCGAGTTCTGGAACATTATTCTTGCTTCCTATCGTTCGGATTCCATAACTTAAGTCACTTTGTTAAAAATAAATATACCACATAATGACATTGCCGTCCACATAGTTTTAAATGAAGGCAGTCATCCCTGTCGCATATCTTTCAGTTAGAGGAGGTTGAAGTATGTAAGCCCCCCAAATTGGTTATTGAGGAAACCTACCTCCACATCGTACTCAGAATCATAACGGTTCGCCTGGCGGTAGGTTATTTAGTTATGTGGATTTTAAACTCCACTAGCAATAGTAACTTTAACATTACCCTATTGGACTCAGAACCAAGGTAAGTGCTACGGTTATAGTTAATGTTAGTCGCTGGGTGCATCCCAGGGCTATTGTTAACAGATAAGGGTTATAGGTTGATTTGGGATTAATGACTGTGTTAGGGTTTTGCCGTTATGATTGGATCAGGGTTACTGCTACGGTCCTAGGTTAAGGGCCATAGGTTATGGTTTCAAAGCCCGGTTTAAGGCAACAGTTACGTTCGAACTTTTCATAAATGCTTAGCGATTAAGAGTTAGGATTACTCATTAAAGGCATAAACACGATTGTCGTTAGGTTTTTAGTTAACTTCCTTTTTTCAGTTTGATTATGTGCTATGCACTTGTCAGGAATTGTTTTACTTATGGATGTTCAAGATATTGTATTATGTAGAAGGTTATTTGAAACGTTCACTAGATTTTATAATGTTTCAGGACTGTTATCCACTGGAGCGAACTCAATATGGACATTTTATCATAGCAGTCGCGGTCAGCTTGATAATGTCGAACCTCCAAATTTCCATTCCGATCACTCAGCCAACGGCTGAGTTTCTATTTGCAAGATAAAGCCCTGCGGATGGTCAGAGAAACAGCAAAGCGCCGAAAAGAGATGCTGTGGATCAAAAATGGAGCCATGATTGAGCATCAGAAGAACGTGGGCACAAGAGAGATAGTCGCTGGTACACCGAGTTAGGCAGTAAACAATAATTTAACGGGAAGTTGGCACGACGCCAGGGAAGCAACCGACTCTTTGCCCCTTATAGCCGAGACCTCCTTTGTAAAAGTCTCATCTGTCACCTTAATTTACCTCGGAGTGCGCTGTCTATTATAAGTGATTTCCGTTGGATTAGGAATTTAGGTTAATCGCTCTTTTGTAAGAATATTATAAGAATGACGGCTGGGAATGATACGGTCTCTCCATGCTCATCAAACCAGGACAACATTGTGTAGAGACCCAGAAACCGTCTTCTTTGAGGGTTATTTTGCTACGTAACGCCAAGGCTGCATTGTCGATTTCTTCTTACGAGAAAATGTTATATCCCTCTGCGAACGGCTGACCCCCTGTTACTGCGGAAAGGAGGTTTGCGAGTGGATTTAATTTCGCATCCTAGAAGGTTCACCAAGCGCACCGTACCAGGCAGGAACTTGGTCTGCTTATTATCCATTGGCAACTCATTTTCCCTTTGGAATCATTTAATGCATGGGACGTAGCCTTTAATTTGTCAGTTAGTCGGTGGGTTTTTTGTTCTAGCTCACGCCTATGTCAACACTACGGCAATCTTTAGACATCTCTTCACTTCAGTAGTCTCAGTTAATATCTCCAAGCAACTTGCGCGGAATTAATCTCTAACGTTTTTAACGTCCGACATACCGGGGCCAAATGTTGCCTTTCACCTCTGTTTTTGCTCATTGGATCATGAGGTGTAACTGCGGCACTTTTACATGTTAAACACCCAGTTTTTTGGGGGAGGAATGGACGGCCAAATTCCAAGCCCTTTTGGAGGAGAGCATTCTTCATCCCACAGCTCGCTTCGACAGCATAAATCACCTGCTCTCTCGAGATTTGATAAGATGGCTTCAATCAACGTTTTTGCCAGTTGGCTGCAAAGTAAACCAATGGTATGGCAAGCTTATGAATACCTCGCACTGCTTAGTGAAAAATGTTTCTGATCGGCAAGGTGATGGCGCTTTCTGAAATTAGCGAACTTAGGGGCAAAATCGAAGAGGCCAGTTGATTTGCCATTGAAACAAACATGTGTCCCAGTCATATCGTGCCTTTTAAGGACTTTTCATTTTACCAGACAAATAACATTTTTTCATGCACTTCTTCTGGCTGCAATACGAGAATATATTTATTCTCCATGTCTGTGGCCGACGAAGACTTGGACTACATTCTAGTGAAGTATACTGTCATATCGGAAGAATGCTATCTCATAATGACCGGGTCCCCATGCAAACATGACACTGTCGCCTTGCTCCATGCGACCAATCGTCATTCCTCATGTCAACAGAATCGGACACAGGAAGATGAAGTGGCGAACTGTGAGACCTTGCTAAACGGCGCCCAGAATCGTTCGCACACAACAGTGCAATATAAAGCGTCCTCTCTGATTAAGCAGCCTACCCTTCATAATATTAGTCACATTCTTTGAATTATGAACCATGGAATTCCCAATAAGTTTGATCATATGCGGACTCTGAATAGCCACGGCGGTTACCTGGAATTTGTGATTCCTGATCTACCTACTCCCTACTGGCGTAGATTCCGATTCATTCAATCCTTTGCTAGTCTGGAGTGAGCTGGCTGATTGTTATTTGCGCACACAGACTAGTGTTCGTATCCATTCCAGGGCCTACACCCGCTCTCCACATTTTAATAGTATTATTCACACTAAAACAAGAGAGGGAGATGGTGGTGTATATACTGTTATGGCCTTCTCTATGCAAACCAATTCATGTACCAGTCACCGGTGATATTCTGATAGGTGTAGGTCCCCTGTGTGTTTGAAAACAAACTGAAATGCAACTGTCACTGAGCTAGAATGCTCGTACGTAAGGAAGCGTTGCGGCCAGACCGTATCAAACAGCGCTCTCATTAGAAATAATATATATATATATAATATTGAAGAAGATGGTAAGGCGAGCTCTGGGGATGATGATTTATTCATCTGACGTTTCACACTCATACTCGAGCGCAGCATCGGAGATAGGAAATATTAGAAATATATAATATATATTTCTGTTGTGGAACAGAAAGACCTGGGCGTCCTAATGACCATCATCACAGTGTCAAAGGGTAGCCAAAAGTGCGATAAGGGTGTTATTTTCGCTGAGGCGAGGATTTGTGCAGATCAATAAAGAGCTTTTCGGAAAAACCTATGGGGCATTCGCTCGGCCTCACTTAGAATATGCAGTCCAGGCCTGGCGACCGTGGTTGAAGAAAGATTATCAACGATTGGAAAGAGTACAGGCGATGGCTACGAAGATGGTCAAGAATCTTCATCATTTGCCTTACGAAACCAGGCTGACCGAACTAAATCTGTTCCCTCTAAATTACAGACAACTGCGCGGCGATCTCATTCAAACCTACAGGATTGTCAAAGGCCGTGAGTGTGCCCTAGAATTTGATAAATTCTTCGAATTGGCCGGGACTGACCGTCTGCTTGGTCATCCCTTCAAACTGCAAAGGAAGCTGGCACATTCTGACGTCCGACGGAACGCCTTCCCTCACAGGGTCACTGGAGCATGGAACGGACTCCCTGATGCGGTGGTTCTTTCCCAAAGTGTCCAATCCTTTAAGTGTAGACTAGATACTCATTTGTTGAGAAACTATTGTACGTATATTTAGGATTGTTTTGGCGGCCGTAGTTTGCGCCTGACTCACACTTACTGCTAACTTCTAACTTTTCGCAATTGCTGATTTAATTGATGACTTTATTTCTGTTTATCAATGTGAATAGGGAGCTCAATGGCGAAAGCCTCATTCCCTTAATAAACTGACTTAAACTGACTTGAAATATAGCTATTTAGCTTACTTTTGTTCAAATAAACAATTATGAACGTAAGCAAGAACTGTGAAAGCCCCAAATATCACAGTTTGACGATTTCTCTACTGGCGGCTGACCATGACAAGGTGCAATCTTTGCTGAAATCAAATGTCCATCACAGCGAGTAAAACCTGTCGTATTTGATGCTAGCAAAAGTGTTAAGCAAACGGCGAATCAGTAGGAATTAGCCGAAGCTAAATGTGGTACTGAGGTTCAGCCTGTATCTGAAGTCAAGAGAAGTGCCACACAGACGAACGTTTTCTGCCCAAAAGCTGACGCAATCGCATATTTTCCACATTCTTATTACCGTCGTAGTTCCATGTATCCGTGGCCTCGGAATGAATATTCATTTCTGGGTAGTGTTTGGAATACAATTCTGTGGTATATATTCGTGAGAGAATGATTTCACGACTGACGGTCATAAGGACGCAAATCTACTATATTATTCACGCAAAATACTTCTATTTTCTTTCTATTTTTATTTCTGAAAATGTGGAAATAATGTGGCCTTGTAAGTAAAGCACGTTTAAGCTTCAACAACACAGTTTTACACTGCCCATTGGCGAAAACGTACACGAATATGTCCATTAGGTTTTTGCATCTTGCAATGGTTTTTAAGCAAAAAAACTACGCATCTTCAACAAAAGCAGCCTTTCAAGTTTAAACAGGCTCAGAAAAATAAAATGAGAATTCTAACACGTTGCACTTAAAAAAAAGAAACAGAACATTAATGTCATTATGAAAAACGCCTTTGAAATGATGAAAAGCATGATGAGTTCTCTCCAAGTCCATTAGGCAGATGTTGTCAGGAGACGAATAAGTCAAACAAGCAACTGTTTACGCACTTTGAATCAGACAAGTATTTCAGTTTAAAGTGAATGGTCGCATCTTCTACTGCACTTCTTCGGCGCTGCCGGATTTTTCAGAAGGCGCATCTGACATGCATGGCAGGGGAACCTGCGGGGGCTGCGGGAATCCTCCACTCGCTGCCGGTGCCTGTACTAGCGAGGTCTGATTCGCTTGCATAACCTGTTCGTAATTCGGAGGTTGGGCAAAATACATGGGACTGGGAGCGGGCTGTGGACAGAATGCCGGATTGGAGCAGGCAATCGTCTGCTTTGGATAAACTGCCTGCTGCGGATACGGTTGCGTCATCTGAAAGACGATATATAATGGTCAACTAGCAAATGTGGATCATTCGCAGTGTTAATTATAGTAAAAAATGATGTACGTACACATCTGTGATCTAATTTTAGACTACACGGTCATAACAGGATTTACTGCCGACTGCAATCTGGCGACAAATTGTTAAGCACTTTCAGTTTTGCCTAATAGTGTAAAGAATTAAGCGGTGCGCGGCCGTTTACTTTTTATTCTGAAATCATTGAGGAGGGTTTAAGATCAAACTTTAAACCCGTAGCACAGTCATTGATAAGGCTCGCCAAACACGCAGTTCAGCTAGTAAGAAAGAAGTAGAAGCACATCTTAGTTGGGACTAACATCCGCATTTCGTCGTAATCAACGACGACATAAAACAAATAAAAACCTCTTTAATCTGCAATCACTAATTTTAGTCAACATATACATACGACTGCGTCTTGGGTTTAGACACGGAAATTTGGAAGCCTTCTTACTACAAGTGACCCATCGCTACACGTCGGTCGGCTAAAGGGTTGGACTTGGAAGAGTTAGATTTTAAGATATCGCTAGAAGTCTCAGGAGACGGCTCAAAGGCACGATAACGGAGGGCTATGGTATATAACCCTCCTGGAAAACCGTAGTTAACTATGGCCCAAACGCCAACCCCGCGCATGGCCGTAATATCTAACCCTAACCATTAAACCTTAAGCATTTAGGGAAGACTCAAAAGCAACCGCAACCCTAACCCTAGGCCATAAATCCCTAACCTAAACCTAAACCTTAACTCATGATCCTAATTATGAACCCCAATCCTAGTGTAAACCGTAAATGCAGATCATAATCCGAGTTTAAAAACCTCGGCCTGAGGAATAACTTAACTCCCAGTATGAAACCTTACTCCAACCGCATCCCTAATCCTAAGCTTTAACTCGATCCGGGCAACTTTGACGTCAATGACACTACTGAAGATAAAAATTCGCGTACAGCATGACCTCTTTGGCTTTCTTTCTTCAGGTAAGCTGTTGTTAACCACAGAACAGCGTTACCGACAAAAACAAGGAAATTTGAATAGCTATTTCTGTCTTATTAGCCGTCGCCAGACGGCTATACCTAACCGTTAGGGTGCGCAAACACTGGGACTCGATCCTGCAACGTACTGTTTGGAAGTGCAACGTACAACCACTGAGCCTTGCGCTCGCTTTACTGTCGTTTGCGATCGGGTAAATACAATGGTTGTGGGACGCTCACCGATCGCGCTACGGAACTCGTCATGTTGTGCCTTGGGGCAAAATTACAGCTAAATCGCTAAGATACGGAGGTAAAATTTTGGAAACTACCGAAGTGAGATGCACAGCCTATCCTTACCAGCACTTTGTTTGACATTTAACGCAAGATTACCCATAGTACCGGACGGTTCATACTACCAAGTCCAATCTACCTCGCTTCATCGTTTTAGATGTAAATAGATTTTCAGAAAGTTAAATGCCTACTAGCCACATCGACAGTTATCTCTCCGTATGAAACACATTTCGGTAACACATTATTGCGAGACACTCGTACAGAAACCGGATCTGCGAATACGTATTTATCTCTCTTTAAACACACTTTATTTTACGCCTCTCAGCTGCTTGTCAATTCCTGTCCTTACCGTTGCCTGCACATGGACTTATCAGTTTATTTGTTTGAAGGCGCAAATAAATGGGCATAAAAGTTGCATCTTTAGTAAATGATACTTTACCACCAGTCGCCTTCATATTTCTCAAACGAACAAATGTAGTGCGCTTTAGTGGATGCGGTTATGCTAGACGGCTTATTAAACCTAACGAAAGTGATTACTGCTTAGCCTCCTGACATTTGTTCCCTATTTGGAAAATCAAATATAAGTAGTACAACCAGGATAATTGCATGAAACATTAAATGCCTAACCAACAAGGACTGTTTAGGCATTCTCACTCATTTTGTGCCAAATTTTCAAAACAATAAACCCGTAATGGCCAATTGTGTTTTGCACCATCTCACAGGAATTTTTCCCTCCAACTAGGAGCAGAACATTGTTTTTGGCTATTAAACGGTTTGTCAATAAAGGTCAGCAGCAGAGACATAGTTAATCTATCCTTGCTTATATAGTCGGCATTAGCCCGCTAGTCAAGAAGAGCCAAGCAGCATGGTTCGAAAAGAACCTATCATTCCGGAGAAACGAGCGTTGATTTAGCAGGCGCCTAATCCACCAATTCCAGTAGCTGTCACGCAAGCAAAGATTGAAGCAGTGTATTCTGAATTAGCTGAAAATCTCTGGTTTTAAATGATTAACCTTAAAATGCTTCGCCAATAGCCTTTTTATTTCGTTATTTGACGAATAAATTTAAGAAGGTCTAGGGAAGCATAACTACCGCTGGTGGATCAGGGTAGCGTCAAGTATTGGGCATAGACTCATGCAAAAGAAAGCAGACGTCAAATCGGAAATACAACTTCTTGAATGTGAAGTGATGTATTATATAACTGAGAGTACATTTAAATAAGGTCGCCTTTTATTTACTCCAAAATTTCCTTCGGGTCAAATCGACTTTCTTTCACAGGGACTCTAAAATGCATTATTTCTAACGACTACTCCGGCTTCTAGCCCATGAACCTTTCAACTAGTCTAGTGATATTTTTCCATTTTGAAACGCAGTCACTGGCTAAACCAAAACCAGAAGTTTATGCTCACTGGGTGATTAACTTCGCTCGATAAATCCATTTGGTTGTTTCTGATAATTCTTTTTCTTTGGGAGGGGGGGGGGCGGGTCGAGAGTATTTAATAGAAAGACAGACCTGTCTTTGGTTTTTTAATCCTTAGCTTTGATGATTAATGTCCCCATTTATTTTTCAACCAGTTTCGCTGCAACTTACGTTGTTTTTATAAAAACAATTTGCACACGAATCTGGCTCGGGACTTTATTTCGCTGGTTAGGGTATTGAGATCACGCTCCTTAAGGCCTGAATTTGTGATGCCACTGCACACAACGTATGCTGTTGCAACCTATTTCCTTCCACTGCTATCCTTATCTTAAGGTTTCAAAGCCCGACTTCAGCCAAAACAAATGCTGATCCGATGTAATGTGCATTTTAAGACATGCACTTTTCCATCTGAAGCTTAAAACAGCCAGTCACTAGGAGGCTCCTTTCCAGTGCACATCTAGGAGGTTAAGACAATTTTTCTAATAATCTACTTTTGTCTTGCAAATCGTTCTTCGGCGGTGTGCATGTTTAGTCTTAAATTCGCAAGCAACACACTCTAGAAATCCTGGGTAACACAACGTTACGGACGAGAAATTTAAACAGATAATTAAAAGATTATAAAAGAACACGAGATTTTACTCAACCAAACGGTCTAATGAATGGTAATTTTGGGTTTTGTTCTTCTCTTGACATCCGTAGGAAAGGATATGTTATCGGATTAATCGGCCTTCACGTTATGCAAAAGTGCCTTTTTTTCAAGAAATAAGTTAGGATAAAGATTTTTGCAAACTTACCTGTTGTTGCATAATAACCGGTTGCTGGGCGAATTCGTCCCTCACTGCAACCATGGAGCAACAAGCACAAGCAAAGCTTATGCTTCCGACGATCAGGAAGATAATTCCAAAGAAGATGAGAGCAACTCCTGACGCAAACTTACTAAAGCATGATTTGAAGTCGGAATATAAAATTCGCATGAGCGTTTGAGACTTTAAATTCTCCCAAATAGTAGTCGAGACGGCAGAATTTAGATGGAATGAGGGATAATCCAAATGACATGTTTTCTCTTACTGAGCGACGGTCACAATCATCTAAGAGGATTTTTAATCTCCTGTTGTCACTGTTTACTCAACGTCCTTGTTATGACCGATTTGTCAATTTTGAAAACGAGATGTTATCCGGATAGGTTTTCGCGCAAAATGCCAAATTGTAAACAAGATAGCCGGAGATTAATTTGCTATTCTGTTAGATTGCAGCATAAAACGGCCACAAAAACTGTTGGTACACCTGGACATTAGTGCAGTTGGAGCCAAGGAAACGTATCTTGGCGTGTATTACGTACATGTACGTACGCATGTTTTCTTTACGTTCTTGCGGAATCCCAACGCAATTACTTTGCAAAATTTGGTGACTGCAAATAAAATCTTCACTTCAGTCCTAGATTCCATCTCGTAAGACCATGCTGCCCAGCCCCCATTTTTAATCATTCGTCAGCCTCTGAAATATTTATAATCACCAAAGCAACTCTCCGAATATGTTTTTGTAGTGATTCACTAACTATTGGTATTGTTTTTATGGTGACAATGTACAAGCAAAAACTGCCTATTCAAATATGATAGCATTTGGCTAGATATAATTCATTCATGTCTTATTAAGAAGACGTTTTATTGCAGCAAGAACGGTTGACTATAGTATTTTACAATGCCGCAAAACGACCATTCGAATGGGATTGCGTCTTTGGTCTTAATAATGCTTCTTATAGAAAATACACTGCTGCAAATATATATTTCGGAATTGTATGGGCCCTATATGTTATCGTATAGATGACATACAATAATGTCTATTTTTGCTTACATGGAAGTATGCAGTGCGCGGTTTAGAAAACCTAAACACAAATACAATGACAGATTGAACTTAAAATTATTCGGGAAATAAATATGGTTAAAAGCAACAATATATCCTTTTTTCCTTGAACATAAAATAAAAAGAAAGAGATTTTATACAAAAGGTGCAAAAAAGAATCTTTTAAGCATGGTTACCGTAGGATATATTTAAACTAATTATAATATTAAGTATTCGTGAAAAACACTTCTGCAACTTGCGTGGTCACGTTTTTCGGTTACCGTTTTCGCAAGCAGTCGTAAAATGCACACTCGAAAACCAGCTTTAAAGTGTGCTTAAAGTATCCTTAGATTTTAAGACAATAGTTTTAGCATCGAGATCGCACCTAGTTGATCCTTCTAAATAAAATGCATTCCAAAGTATCGGTCATTATCTCAACCATCTTTGAAAGACTGTTGAGTCAAAGGACTTCATTTTTTCGCAGTTAATTGCCGCATAATGCTAATCCTTCTTATGCACAAAATTTCGATTGAAAGGTAAGTGGTTATTAGGCACCACTTCAGTTAAACTTACATGTGCTGCGTGTTGGGTTCTTCGGGGATCATGTTCTCCCAATTATCAGCAAATGCATGGTTCCACCAAACATTCTGATATTTTGCCACCAGGACGCTGCCAGTGATAAGAAATGGCAAACCCACGGCCGCAAATATGACCGCGGTCACGTTGCAGCAGATAGCGTGAGCCTTGACGAAGCTGTACGTCTGACTTCTGACTGTCTGAACTCGTGACATGCGAGTAGTTTGTCTGCTTGAGGTTTTTGAAATTTTTGTAAAAATGTACTTTGATTAGGTAAATTTGACAAATTCACTTCAACTTGTAAAAGGTTAAAGGTTAGATGAAATGCTTTTTTCTCATTTTGAACAGTAAACTTATTCAGGATCAGTTATACCTAAAGTCGGAAAGTTGGAAAATATTTAAGGGTTTGCCAAGTAAATAGGACCCCGTTGCAATACATGTAGCCCCGAGCCAAATTCCAGAAGGGGTACTAATTCCAGTGACCAAACCATAAGCTCAGCGTCAATCCCAGGACTTAACCCAAAATGAACCCGAATCCGCATCTTAGTCATTACCCCAACTATAACCCTAGTAATAATTCTAACTCTACATTTATCTTAACATGAATCCTATACTGATCCGAACGCTAACCCTCCCTTGTACGAAACTCTTACCCTTATCACCACAATCTAATGCCAGATTACCCACTTTACTATGTATTCCTATTCCCGAATTCTATGGGCTCATTATGACAATCTGAATGTAAAACAATCTTTTCTAAAAGATGTCTAAAATGTGCATGTTTTTAGTTATCGGCCATCGCAACAGTAAAAGTCCGAGCAGGTCACAGTTTAAATTTTGTACATAGGTCAAGCAGGTCAATGAAAAAACCAATGTTAACTTCGTTTGCCGTGGTAGACACAGATTGCGCGTAATCTCCTATTGGCGAGCTATGCTTCAGGCAATATCTCTCGTCCGATTATGTTACATTAACGAGTTTTTAGCCGCACCCCTTACACAACGAAACTTACTCGAAGACTGAAATGACAAATATGTGAGAGTTTGTTGCCCCGTAATTTCAAACGCCTAAGGACAACTATGCTCTTGACATTAAAAAATTTACAATCCACCAGTCGACGAACGACGGGTTATAAGGTAGTTGATTTGTTTACTTTTGAAAAGAATAAAGTCGTCAGTTTGCTGCTCTGTAAACATCTAATTTTTAGGCATGATGTACGTTGATCCAAATTGACCGCCGATTGACGGATAGAAGCCGGACACTTTCTCCTTGCTGACACTATCTTTTTTCCGTTCCCACATTTAGATATCAAAAAACTGTCATTTACCAGCGACCGATTATTCGGAAAAATCGCTGCAGTCGGTGGGCCGCAACAGTCATCTAGCAAACACCGCTATGTTTTTGGCCCTTTATGAATTACGATTTTACTGTGCTCGTACTGACAGCGCACAAACCGCGTCATTTATGCTGGATAAAGTTAAGAGCATGGCTAAACTCCATTGCTTGACCTCATTTATGCCAGAATCTAACATACTGTGAACTTATCGATGCATATCTGTATCTCCGGTGAGTATTTCATGTACATGTTAAAATGCTCTTCGGCTCTTTTCGTTTTTCTGCCATTTTCGCTGCATGATGGGTTTTTAACTAAGCAGCCCATTAGTATAAATCACGTCACGGCAAAATCAGTTTGTTAAACGGTTCTATTTAGACTTAGACTCGAAAACGAAACACGATTTTGCTGGCGGTGCAACATATTTCGTCTATCAGTTTTTTTGTGGCGCATTTGGTTTCCTTTCAGTCCGGGGGTCTTGTTTATGCTATAAAATATTAATTAATATCAAGCGTAGTTATCGTCAAATTGCCTTACATTTTGTTACGTCTCTATCTACTTTCCGAGTTCTGCGCCCTATAGCAATAAAACACCACATTTTTAAGCGTAAATAATAAATAATCTGAAATAAGCAATGAATAGTTCAAAAAATTCATAGCATTAAATCTCCCTCTGCAGTTTTACTGCCAACTCACTGAGAGAAAGAAAGCGTCCGAGAATCGATGGGGTTGTGGAGTGAATGAACAACAGGCAGGAATGGGAGTCACCATTTCTCCAATGATTGGTTTCTTAGCAACGGCCCCTAAACAAAAGATGCCTTTTTAAATGCTCGGCTCCACACATGGGCAAGTTGCGTGAACTGCCACCGTCTTGCGTAATAAGTATGTAGAAATTAAAAAAGCAAAGTAGAAAGTTTTGAAAGGCACAATTTTAACCTGACGTTTTGATGATAGTTTACGCAAGTACAATTGTTGACTTTGTTGCCATGGTTAGAACTCATTCTATGTCCATAAAAATGACCAGAAACAGGTATTTTCCCTATAAGTTGAAAACAGACAAAACCACCTACTGAAGTGAAAGGAGTCCACTTAAGCAGTTTATTGTTCATTCAGTTTTAAAAAGGCGACTGTAAAATTAGCAAAAAGTGACCTCGAAAAGTTCAGAAGGAAAAGGTTTACTTTCTACAAGAGAAAGTTACGTGGCTGCCTTAACATAGCATTATGGTGGTGTTCTTATTTAACCTCTCCATTCATTTTGCTGTCTGATGTCTAGCTGATTTCTGAAAGCAAAATACCGAGACTGATATCTGCATTTCTCATCTTGGCATATTTTGTTATTCAGCTATATTAGAGTTGTGAAGAACTCGAAAGACAATTCGACGAGCATGCGCAAATCAGGCCTATACATTTATATTGCTGTCGAAATGATCGAAAGGAAAAGGCGGGCAAGCAGAAGTCATTCTGTAACTGGGGTTTGAGGAAGAGGGTCTGGGTGGGAGAGGTAAAGAATAAAAGTGCCATCAGTGTCAGGGAAGAAACGGGGTCGGTTGGCACTGAGACGGGTAATTATACGCAGGTGGCTGGCATAGTGGCTTTGGACCATGGTAACAGTGGGGCTTGTACGAAGTTTATTTGTGCGCATAGAACTGCTTTGTATAGCCTGGTTGCAGCCGCCTCTTCAATCGCCAACAGACACTGTCCAAGTGGTTTAAGATAGCTTGACGGGACCTTGTAAATCACTCGGAATGCCTGGCCGGCATCTACACAGTGATTTGTGTCTACCATGTAGGCGAGGATAGAGCTTTTGACGTTCTTTATTTGGCCCTTTCCTAATCATGCTGCAAAGCGTTCTCTTCTTCTTTTGGACAAACGCGGGCTCGTGCCACCAACATATTCTGCCCCACAGGAGCAGGTGAAGGAGTAAATACACATAGAAGTGATATGGACTGGCAATCTGTCCTTACCCTCTCCGTGTAGGATGGGACTAGTGGAGAAGAGTACACGGGCGTCAGCTGCTGGAAAGGCGCTCGATACAACTTGAGTTATGCGTCTTCTTAGAAGTTTATCTGGCGCGTCCCCTTGAACGGGACCCTGACGAAAAGCTTCTGCTTTTCTGCCGTCGGCATGGGGCTTTAGTGGTCCTCCAGTCATGTACTTGGCAATGTATCGATCGGGATACTCGTTCTGGAGAAGGAGATGTACGACAATCTTTAATTCTTCCCCAGTGTTATCAGCCGATCAGATCCTCCTTACTCTTTGAGTTAAACAACAGACTAAATTGCGTTTCATGTTTAACGGAACGAAACTCCCAAAATTTGTGTATTGCTCGGATTACGTCTTCTTACGATAGATGATATATTAGTCAAAATGTGGAACGAATTTTTTTAAACTCACAAAACTCATTTAATAATTAGTCTCGTATACAGTGAAGGTGTAAAGATTCGAACGCTTAAGCATGTTGTTGTAAGGCTTATCAATTTTGAATGGATTTGGCTTGTGTAAACAATAAACAGATAGCATAGACGGAATTCAACATAAGCAGATTGTATACGTTTGGGCAGGGATAACAAAGAAAGCGTTAATGCACTGCCTTAGGTCGTTGTGGCAACGGCATCAGCCGCATCGATTTGTTAGACACTCTGCTAATATTTGTAATGCGTAAAACCGGCTACTGAATCTACTTGAGTAGCTGTATCTAAATAATCTCGAAAGCATAGCGGTTTTCGTTTTTATTAAACCGTCTTTTACCGAGTCCTTTTTAGTGAAAAAAATAATTTTGATAAATTATAAAAAGAGTATTAACAAGGGCATTTGCAAACACCTAGAATAGAAGACGTCGTTTAAAATTTATTAGACTTACTAATTTAGTACTCAACGAGGTCAACATTTAGAGGTGTAACAAGCGCCCTCAAGCCTTCAAGTAGACATCAATACCATTTACAAACTAGTCATCAGAGGGAATATCACAAAGCGATTTGTTCCCTGTGTGTCTATGCTGGGGATAGGCTGATGATATCCATCTTAATTTAAGGCTGACTATCCATGTCTTTTGAGCTTCAAATCTGTCACCTTCCGGAAATATATCATGTACGTTTACATTGGTAGACTCTAATGAGCGGGTTCCGAGTCCATCAGTCTTGGGGCCCGCTTAGTGCAATGTCATGTCGATTGAGATGGCCGCGTATGTTTACGTCGAAGTCTAATCTCGCAAGCCCAAGTCAGGAGTTTTAGCTAATAAACGAATTAGCGCATAGTTCAAAAGAAACAGGGGTCCACCTTCCCAAGTGGCAAACAAGACAAAATTTGTACCTTCTACCAGCTCATGTAGAGACACATTTCATCAAAAAGTGGAACTCTCAAACCTTTTCCAATGACTCGTGTTTGCACAGCGGATAACATCGTTAATCCTACTGAATCCTGCCTGGTTTGTCGTAAAAAAATTATTTTGTCCTTTGGGTTAAAACCGCGCAGGACGTGGCAATTGGTACAAAAGCAGTCTATTTAATGGCCTGTTTATGCTGTCCGGACTTATTCAGAACCGCTAAACAGAACTCACTTATTCCTGGAATAGGCTCCTTGTCTCGAATTAGATGTCGTACTGAGAGTAAGAATTCCCACGTTGTAAGAACTGAACTCCGTATAACATAAGTATCCACTGAATATCTGTTGAATGACAACAGCCAGGCATACATTGTACGA